TTAACACACAACCGTGCTGGTGAGTGCGACCCAGTTAAGACTTTGAGAGTCGCATGTTCAAAGGGAAACTTTATGAACATCTCCAAATGGAACCTTAACCGGGCTGTAACTAGTACATCAGATGGCGAGCAGCGACGTCGTAACAACCTGGTTGGTCAAACCGGGCCGCGGGGACATTGATCCTCGAAACCACCTCATCTCTCAGTTGTGCAGTTTCTTCCCCTAAAAATATTTGCAAAACGAACTCGCAGCGCAATAAAAAAATGAACTAATTCAAGCACAATACTTACAATTTGCAAGCACAAACAGCAACGTAGCCAGTATATCAATGGCCGACACCTGTTCAGTGCAATAGTGTGCAACCGCCTTATAATACTGCGTTACCAGCTTACGACCGACAGCTGGTGTGTTTCACCATCTGTTTATTCTATATTCTATACTTTCTCGATATATAATAACGCATTGCTAGTTGCCTCTCAATTTCCCTTTGTACAAGGCAAGGTGCAAAGTAAGTTTAGGGTTAATGTCGGATATTTTGAATCCTAAAATATATTCTATTTTATATATACATATATTTAGATATAGATATACTTGGATATATTTACAATTGGAGAAATACAGTTGGGGAGTGAAATAAATACGTGCCGATTCAATAATTAAATCGTATATTTTCTAGTTAACATCTGTAAAATATAATATTGATGCACTCAATACATTACACTGTACAACTTAATATTTTATCGATTGGAGTTTCCGCAATGGTATGAGTAATCATATTTTACTTACAGCCACAATTGTAAAAATAATACTTCTTAGAAAGAACGAAGCCAGTAAGATTATACAGTATAGCACAGCCTCAATTGTATTTTTAAAAGTTTTTAATAATAATTCATTAAGATGGCAATGTAACAATATTTTAGTGTTATCGCCGCGCAGCTACAGTATTTTCATATATTTTGCGGTAATATCCAGGGGCCAGATTCACGAAAGCACTTACGAACCTGTACATCTTTTCTCAATCTTTGGCGAATTTGTTTACAATTATTAAACAGTTAATGAGCTCGGAAGCACCAGAAGGCTGTTTATAACAATAACAACAGTTGATTTGGGAAGTTTTCATGCTTGTAAACTGTTTAATAAATGTAACTAAAGCCGTCAAAGATTGAGGAAAGATAACACGTTCGTAAGTGCTTTCGTGAATCTGGCCCCAGAATATTATTGGAAATCCCAGAGTTGAGTTGGCTTGCGTGAAGCCAGCTACAGCCTTGACCAGCCCACCTCCCTGATTCCCACAATTGGTTATATCCGGAGATCTGCAGGACATTTCAAGGTTAGGTTGTCATTACGTTGGTGATGAGCAGTAGCCTCAAGTAAACACGATAGGGGGAGGTTTGACTTTCTGATAATGTTATATTGTCTTAGATTGTTGACTATGACCTAGGAATGTCTGCTGTGATGCCTCTGTAAACACTAGTTGATGAGAATATAAACACGTGGTGAAGCTTTAGCCTATTGTCCTAACAGATCTTGCTGTCTGTCCGTGCTGTATATTTTCTCGATACCCCAAATTATCTTGGAATTCGGCATCACATCAAGATATTAAAATTTAGCTTTTGGTATTTATCCTCCCAAAAATGAAACATCTTTAGTTATAAAGATGGAAAGGAACAAAATTAGACGAACTCGAAAAAGGTCCACGTTTTGTATTTTTAACTTTTATAATCTGTTAAAAGGGCAAAAACCTAATGTTTGCTAGGATTAATATAGTACATATATATACCAAATTCATTCCAACTCGACCTCCAAGAGATTGTAGTTGACGTCACAATGTATTTAGTCCTCCTTGACCACGACTTGTGACCACGCCCACGGCTTGTAACACTCTTTCCAGATAGTTACATTTCAAAGTGACCACACGACCAATTGAAAACATTAGATACCGCTAATACACAGCCTCGCCTTAGTCGTTTGGTCATGGCCACTAATACATAATACTGGGTTAACTCGCTAGAAATATTAACACTCCAGACTGACAACCAGAACGCAATTCCATAGTCTCCTGAGACTGATGGAGGCCTACTAATCTACCTTAAATATGGTTAAAAAAGAATATATGCAATGAAGCCTAGATTTACTTAAACAGCGAAACCATAGACTTATTCTTTCAACAAATCGTAAAGAATACCACAAGCTTACAGACCAACCAGAAACAATACTTAGTCCTAAACAAAGTGGATTTGGAGGCAGCAGCACAAGCAGCACAAGCAACACCAGCAGCACAAGCAACTGCACAATCATCATCTGCAGCACAAGCACAAACTGCAGCACAAGCAGTAGCTGCACTAGAAGCAGCAGCAGGAACACAAGCACCAACAGAGCTCTAGCTAGGGTCGAGTACACAGCGTTCATCGCCACCTGCGGTTTCCTCTATTCACTTATTTTGCTTCCCACCATAAAAATCATGTAATTGCTTTCTGACTTGACGTCTGCCGTACACAGCTGTGTGGACCAGCACCCATGTGTTGCTGGTCTCCTATCTGATCACATGGTAGGGAGATAACTATAGTCACTAGGGGTCCTGCTCTGTGCAGTTTCTTCCGTGAGGTGAGAAATGTATTTATTTGTTATTATTTTAGTGCTATATAGTCACACTGGCATAGCGCTTTACCTTGATAATTATTTATTTTCACCGTAATACAAATTGCAGTAATAATAACTTATTATAATTAAAACTACTTCATTTTGCTCGTTACTTGTTAGTTATATCAGTTGTTGCAATATAGAACTGCACTTTTCTGTACAGTTATCTGTAGCTTTGCGGGTGTGCTTAAACGTTATTAAAGACCATTTTCCAACATTAGTCCCTTTATTTAAAACGTTCGATTAGTTAAGTGAATGCATGTTGTGTTTATCGTCCTGTCGCTAATACAAGTTCTACATATTTTACACATTTCTGACAAGAGGATCAAATGTCCTCCTTGCATAGCTGTCAGGTAATTAGTCGGATGATGTTTGGTATTCATGGGGAAGAGACTTGTTGAGAAGCAAAGCACGGGAAAAGTATTTTGAGAACTTTGTCAGATGCACGCAGGCTAGCCTAATCTGAGGCCTAGATTAGGTTATGCTTTACATCTACGTTTGGCTAGGTTAAGCATTTAGATTTGGATAGATTGGGTTTTGATTTTTGGCTCCCCATTAATTTTTTTTTTAATTCCCGTATTGTTTCTTTTTGTAATTTCGATTTGGTCTAGACATTTTAGTTCCAAAATAGACATTTCAATTATTGAAATGTCCATTTTGTAACTAAAATGTCTAGTATAGTATGTACTATGTATATACTGTACTTGCAAAGTATGTACGTAGAACATAGTGTGCTAGTACAGTATGTACTATGTACATATTTTACTAGCACAGTATGCACTATGTACATACTGTGCGGGCACTATACGTGTATGTTGCCTCTTATTTGTTAGTCTGAATTTAAAACATTGGGTTGAGGAGATTGAGTTTCGGAGAGCATTTATTAAACAAACTCAGCGTTACAAAGCTCCAGCTGGAGGACCGTAGTGCACAGGTGTAGTTCAGTGTGAACACTTTGACATATACTTTTTATGAGGTGACATTTTTGCTAGATTAGAGGTAGATTGTGGCTCGCGGGCTGGGTGGTGCTCTGGCTATTGGAGGAGAGTGGCCAATCGACCTGGTTTCCATTAACAACTGCAGCAAGGTGTGGAGAATCTTGGCTTATTGGTATAGACATTTTTATCGAAGTTATATTTAAAATAAGGTGCCAAGGTCTGGAACGGCAGATAGCACTGTACATTACTTAGTGAATCCTTTGTAAATTGATCTTGCAATGTTTACGTACATAATTAGTTTCCCGTGTTAATTTTAAATGTTTTCGTTATGAAAATACTTTTCATACTGTTTCTCATGGCCCCTGTTTGGCTGTGTGTGATGCGTTACTAAGGTAGGCATGTTGTAAGTGATTTACATCCATGGGGTCTCTTATTTAGCAACTCGTGAGTAAATATGTATTGTGTACCACAGCGAAGCAACCTTGATGGTGGATCCGTTCTCTTGGCAAGTAGAAGGCGCTCTCTCGTATTACATGTTGTGTTAATGATATCGTCCTACATTCTTCGCCATATGACGTTTCAAAATAAACAAGAATGAGAAACTTGTACGCGGATACTTTTCAAGATGTCATGGCCTTTCCAAGTAATAACACCGCACCATTACAGAAATATACAGCATGCACAACACAAACACGCCGTAGTTTCAATAAAACAAATACAGTATATATAAATTTTAAACAAGTGGTATGCTCCATGACTGTCGTACGACGTGTCCTCTCGAAAAATACATAGCATTTTGACGTCAAAATCCCCACAACGGGCAAAATATGATGTACTATAAATCGTAGCGACTCAAAAACGTTCACATTTTCTGTATATGGGTCGCTTGGTTAGGTTAGGTTTGAGTGTTTTAGTACACCATTTTGTGCCCGTTGTGGCAACGTTAGAGGACGGACTGGTATACACGTCTTGTACTGGTATCACAGACATAATAGAATAGAAGTCTTATAGTTTATAATATTTATAATAAACAAGCCCTCCTGGAAACCGTTAATGCTCCCTTGCCCCAGAACGGCCCCAGGTCTATTGTCCTGAAGACAGTTCGAATACCACCTGGAAAGTATATATATTGGTATTTTTGCTGGCACAAAAGAAAACAAAAAGAATTGACTAAATATATTTAGGCTCATTTGTTTTAATATTTTACACCAAAGATGATCGTATTGCGCGATACTACAGGCATGTCTGGGTGATTACACAAGAACTATGCTGTTTGGTATTGGGTGAAATTATAGGGCAAAAACTAAATTTTAATATCCATATTTCTATGATATTTTAAATTTGAGAACTTAAAATCTACTTTGTTTTAATTTATTAAAATGATTACGATAATGTTATTTAATTCATGTATATCTTTTGCAGGTGAGTTGTGACAAATCCGTTTTGAAACTGGAATCGTCTGGGTTGGTGTCCTCATCAATGCCATGTCTCTTAGTAAGTACCGGCAACCCAGTAAATTATTATTAAAAGAAGGCACCAAGCCTGGAAGACTATTTAGCTGGTAATCCATCACAAACATATACCATAACTGCTGTTGTTGGTAAGTACTAGTGATCTTGTACAGTACTCTGCTGCTAGTGGTTCATTGCTTCCCACAGACAGCCTGTATTTTTTGTTCGAAAATATACTAATATATAATATGAACAAATATAATAGCATATGCATAAACTCATTTGAATACATGATTAGTAAATGCTTATTGGTACACAAATTACCAAACACTTTGCGCTTGTGAGTATACCACACCTCTCTTTGCCCTTCTAACATTCTACGCCCTTGAGCGAGACATTGATATCCACAGAGCCAGACACTTGGTTTGCCTAACCCCCTATACACCGTCACTCCACCTGAACTGTACAATCTGTAGGCAGCCGCCACGCCCTCTCCCCCTCTCCGCAAGATAAGAGTTCATTACCTCCTACCTCTACTGGTCGACATGGCTTACTGACCAATTACAATGAGCTTCCATTAGACCAAAAAGGCTGTTTAGTGCTCTAGTTTGCGCCCTGTGAAAGGGTGTACACGTCTTTTGTCATTACATCTCGGCTTCTTGTTAGGTTCACGTGTTGCCAATTAGTTTTTACTCTGTATTTGACCACATAAGTATCTGAACCATCGTAGCCAGGCCAGATGCTAGACTCTTGACGGAACGAAAATGCGGAGTAGATACAGTATTGCTTTTTCGTTTAATTTCCGCCATATTTACACACAAAAAAAATCATTAAAACTATCTTAGCAACCATTAAATATAGGGTAGTCAAACTATTCTTGTTTAATCATTTAACAGTCGGCAGATTGTAAGAATTATTGAGCTCGTTCATAATTAGAAATAAATAAATGTTTTCTCCCAGTGACGGAACTCCTAGTCGTAATGGCTTGGTGCTTTCCCCCAGATAGTTCCCTTCCCTTCCCAGTGACGGAGGTGACGACTTTTGAAGTAATGAAAGATAATTCAATACAACAATTACCTCAAGTAGCAGCCCGCCCTCACAAGGTTGACAAACGTCAGATTTGAAGTGAATTTGGTGGCACAAGTCCCCCAGCAAACACCCGCCAGTAGGAAGTGTCCTACTGGAGGGTGTCACTTCCCTCCAAAAGGAAGTGTCTCCTCCCGCCAGGAGGCGGAAGGAGACACTTCCTTTTGTCACTCGAGCTGTTTATTCATCTCATCTCTCGGAAGGAAATAAGAGTGAAAGTAAAAGACGGTAAAAATATGAGAGTGAGAAGCCAGAGACATTATTGGTGAAGTGGACAAAAACTAGCGGCTAATGAAGGGCCCTCGCTGGCCTGCCTCAGTGATTCTTCTCACAATAGATTTTTGTCTAACTCAAAATCTATTGTAAAACAATCTTGACCTATGCCTTGCTGGTGGAAAGTCTCGGGTGAAATCGACACAGTTTAATACAAACTTGCTTAAATTCTTAAAACAAAAGTAGGCAAGTCAAGATTATTGAGAGCATGTACGTTCTTATGCAACATGATACACATGGTATCATTGAATTGTTTTTAGCGTAGCCTACACATGTATATAATGATTTTGCACATGTATATGAATGATTTGCATGTGGCACATAGAGAAAACGGGCTGAGTAATTGGGGGAAATATCGTGTAAAAATTTTAAAATATGTTAGACATGTATATTTGTCCAAATAATTTTGTTCCAATTTGTCTTATATTTGTCTTAGCCGAGAGAAATATTAGCAGGCTTTTTCGTCTGAGCTTAAAAGCAAAACGCCAAAAGCTATATTAGACATAAAAGACCGTTATATTTACCTGTAAGCGGTTTCCAGTTTTTCTCCTCTCGCCGCGCGCGACCGGAGGCTAGGCTTACTCTGTTGACCGCCTTATCAATCGAGCCTGTTTGTGACCTACAGAGCCACCACAACCCGTCTGGTCAGGCACCTGGGATGAACTTGTTCACTTCCTGCTTGGTTGGTATCACCATGTCCTCTAAATGGTGTTCATGGAATCCCCTAATAGTTGGTAATTCTACACTTTCTGCCATATCTCTCGACTCCTGCAAGATATTTTGTAGTGCAGTTTTAGAGAGACCTTATAATGGGACGTTTCATGGGGTGATGTTGGAACGTTTCATGGGAGATATTGCCACCGATCATGGGGGATGTTGCCACCTTTCATGGGTGATGTTGGGACATTTCTTGAGGTGTAAAAACTGAGTATGATAATTACGCTCCCGAGAAACCTTTCACCTGACACTTAACTAATTAGAAGACTCTTACCTTCCTCTCTCTCTCTCTCTCTCTCTCCGGCGGAAGTTACCACAGCGGGAGTACTGCTGAAGGTCGTCCCAGCGTACTAGTGTGTGGCAAGTGGCCCAGCTCTCACCCCTCGTCTACACTGAACACGGCAGAGGCACGCCGTAATCATCATCTTCCTCTCAAGTTGTCTCAATTATTATATAGTTTATTGGACAGCGTCACTAGATCATCACATTCACTCGAAAAAATTTACCACTTACGGGCTATTCATGCCCGTGTCACCTCTTGGGTGGCTTAATCTTCATCTATCAATCGTCACTGGATGGATTCCAGTGACGATTGGAATCGTCATGAAGGAGTGTTTGGTTAATAACTTAGTGTTGTAGAAACTGGGGTTGAGTTTCGTTAGTAGTTGTGCTTGTGAAATGCTGCGGGTTGTGGAGGGCCTTGTGGCTAGCCTCGTCATTCTTGGGAGTAATTATTCTTACCGATTGGTGTTCGCCTTGTTCTCGGGACTAATGCGCAGTATATATGTAGTTATAACATAATGATATACTGTGTTTACTACATGTAGCATAATGAGATACTGTTTCCTTATAAACTACTATGAAATATTGATAGATAAAGGATTCACATCTCCCTTTGCGCTTGTGCTGAATAAACTATTATACGTTAAGTGACATCGACAAAAATTGGAGACTACTCACAATTAAACGAGTCCTGTCACTATTGGCACCGCTGTAAAAATTATCATGTAAATCTTGGGACATCTGAGTTCCCGGCACTGAAATCTGAGGGGCAGTGCCTGTTAAGTTTCTCCCGCAGGCTACTGGACGAGGCTCCAGGTCCAATTGACAGTCACATCTGTATTAACCAATCAATTTCTTTATTATACACCCCATACCCATCCCGTGGGCGGTGGTGGAGAAGGGTTACAAAGGCAAGATAATTTTTCAGCTTCTTAAGTGAAGAATATAAGATATATGGACAAGATTTTTACAAGAATCGCTGAGATATATATATAATATTATATATTTTAAATTCATTCAGTGTCACAGAATGTATCTCTTTAAGTCACGCACTGCTTACGTAACTGCGGACCTTTGCCAATTATTAGTCATTGTTACAAATACCTCACCATGGTCGACCACGCATCATAATACACACTTGAACACACCCTCGAGATTAAACATTTCATTATCAGTACTGAAATTATATATATATATATATATATATATATATATATATATATATATATATATATATATATATATATATATATATATATGTCGTACCTAGTAGCCAGAACGCACTTCTCAGCCTACTATGCAAGGCCCGATTTGCCTAATAAGCCAAGTTTTCCTGAATTAATATATTTTCTCCATTTTTTTTCTTATGAAATGATAAAGCTACCCATTTCATTATGTATGAGGTCAATTTTTTTTATTGGAGTTAAAATTAACGTAGATATATGACCGAACCTAACCAACCCTACCTAACCTAACCTAACCAATCTTTATAGTTTAGGTTAGGTTAGGTAGCAGAAAAAGTTAGGTTAGGTTAGGTTAGGTAGGTTAGGTAATCGAAAAAACATTAATTCATGAAAACTTTGCTTATTAGGCAAATCGGGCCTTGCATAGTAGGCTGAGAAGTGCGTTCTGGCTACTAGGTACGACATATATATATATATATATATATATATATATATATATATATATATATATATATATATATATATATATATATATAATAATAATAATAATAATAATTACTGGAGAGTGTGAACACCTCACAGCTTAATTTGACCGCTAGCGTCACATAACACAATATATATTATATAAAATGCATCATATATAACCTTACTAAATTACCTAAACTTTTACGGGCTCACTATAGCCTGTGCTACGTGGACATCTTGTTCCGAGTAGCTAAATCTAATAGAACAGTCTAAACTTTTTAGTTCCATATGATTGCGTGGACTAGATTCACAGACATTCAAGGATTCTTTTGTATAATGCTGTGACTAGTATAATTTCTGTTTCAAAATCGTGTGTGTACTCACCTAGTTGTGCTTGCGGGGGTTGAGCTCTGGCTCTTTGGTCTCGCCTTTCTCAATTGTCAGTCAACTGATGTCAGGTTCCTAAACCTATTGGGCTCTATCATATCTACACTTGAAAGTGTGTATGGCGTCTGCCTCCATCACATCATTTCCTAATGCATTCCATTTCTCAACCACTCTGACACTAAAAAAAGTTCTTTCTAATATCTCTGTGGCTCATTTGGGCACTCAATTTCCATCTGTGTCCCTTAGTGTGTGCACCCCTTGTGGTAAATAGCCTTCTGTCTTTATCTACCCTATTAATTCATTTTTGAATCTTGTATGTGGTGATCATGTCCCGTCTTAACTTCTGTCTTCCAGCGACGTGAGGTTTAATTCCCGTGGTCTCTCCGGTTGTGTGTGTGTGTGTGTGTGTGTGTGTGTGTGTGTGTGTGTGTGTGTGTGTGTGTGTGTGTGTGTGTGTGTGTGTGTGTGTTTATGTGTTTCGTAATGTCATACAATAGTCAGGGGAAAAAATACACTTGAGGATGTATTTGACCACTCCGTCGCTTAGTAGTTAAAATATTAGAAACTGTCCCCATCTTCCTAAAGTAGGTTTCTAGCGCAGATTTCTATGGTTTCTAATTCCTGTAAGCTGGTGTGATGACTATATAGC